CTATTAAAGTGCCTCAACCGTGACTTGGCGCTTTTGAAGGGTTTCAACTCTACCCTACCCCAACTTGTTCGGGACTGAAAGGCTATGTTGTTGTTGTGGTGGGGGGGGGGGTTGATGGGAGTAATGGGGTCAATATTTTGTATAAGGGGTGAAACGAACAAAGTGAATTGCTTGAGGTAGTAAAGAACCTTTTCCTTGTTTCTAGCTATTTATGGAATGTCCTGTTCAGCCATTCGTGGTATCTCTGCTGCTTATAATTTTTTTTAATTAACTTGTCAGTTTGAACATGCAAACCCATATGTTTTTATCGAGAATCTGACGTACATGTGTGCCTCCCGAATTCCTTTATTTTGAGCTCAGATGGTCTGATTGTTTCTTTATTTTCCTACAGATTTTTGCGCAGAAGTTCTACTTGGGCAGCAATAAGAAACCCAGTCCCCTCAAACTGATTGTCATTCCATTCTTTTCTGTTCGAAAATGTTACCACCGAACTACCCTATTTTCTGTTTCAGTTTGGCATGGAAGCAGAAGTTGTGTACTTCTATTCTCAAGTTGTTATCTTTGTATTATGAAAATGTTCCAATAATCATACGGAGCACTCATTTGCCTTTACTATCCGGGAGATTCTCCTAGTGGCTACAGGCGTCAGGTCTAATTTTTTTTTGGATGGTTTGTCAAGGGCAGAGTTTTTGTATATTGATTCTATAAGCCTGCATTTCATTGATTGAGATCAGACCGTGGTCCAGGTTTTGTGGGCTGAATTCACCAGACAGTATTTGTTTGGTTTACCACTTTTTAGTGGTCAGTCATCAGTTACAAGCATCTCGCACCGCAGTGGTCATTTGGTTAGGGGCATCGGGGCATGCAGGCCAAAGCTGTATCTGTAATTCAGTATCATGGTATGGTATCACTTACTACTCCTGGTTTCTATCTAATCTACCTGGCTGCATTTGCATTGTCATGTAGTATTTCAATTATTTCCACCAAACCACCCCACTTTCGTCAGCAGTTTGGTGTATGATCGTGGATCAAGAGGTGGTTCTGTGCCTGGTTTGCTGCATGTATTATGAAATGCTTCAGTGACCTTTACTGAGTAGTACTACCCGTTTGGCCATTTGTCTTGGCTATTCTGGAAACCAGCCATATGGTTAAAGATTTCAGTTTTTGTTTGGTTCGACGTTGGGTTCCTTGCCAAGGGCCAATGATCAGGTGACTCGTGGGGCGGATCAGGTCATGGGTTGTTCAGCTGGTGGTCCAGGTTTCTGCATAACTTGTGTCTCAGAAATCATTGGAGCACTAGACAGTTAACGTTTGGACTTTCACTTTTTGGCTTTTGGCAGCCGTGCATCTCGGCGCCCAGCGTCTCACCCACCACAGTGATCGTTTTGGCCACGGGAATGCAGGACAAACCTGCGTATCATTATCACTGTATGTATCACTATTCCATGTTACTATCGGACCCAATGGAAAAGGTCGAGTGCCATTTGGAAGAGCTTGGAACTTGGATTCCCCTGTGAAACCAGTAAGAGCCAAGACCCAAGAGAGGTAGCTTGTATTCGCAACTTTTCAACAGGAGCGCGGGCGCCGCACATTGTTGACCCCCATCTCCATGAGAGCCAGTACTCCAGTAGCCCTGCCACTAGTGTGTTTGTCGGTTTGAAGCACACCACTTCCACTGGCCGTTGGGCATCAACCAATATGGTCTGCACAGAGGTTCTCCCTCGTCGGCCCATCAGCCGCCTACCGAGTTGGAACAGAGCAAAAGTGTCATGGTCTCATGGAACGCGACAATCTTAGCTGGCACAAGTGGCCAAAGGTATGTCTGTATCTGAGCGAAGTCTCACTCTCGAGATCACCGCCAAATAGCTTCGCACAAGTTATTATTATCCTATGACCTGTGCGTTGGCATTTGGATATACATGGCACTATATTTTTGACAGTGTATTTATGTAATTTCTTACTATTGCACCTCTTCAAAAACATTTCTTTATTCTGTTGTATCTCATCATAGGTAAAAACTAAACCTTAATTAATTGAGTACAGAAAAATAAAACTATCTCTGGGCGTAAATTTACGGTTTGTACTATATAACAACCTGTATTGCCTCCACAAGCTCCAAGCAGAACTACAAAAAGACAAGCTATGAACACAGTGATAATAATGGCCCTGTTCGTTTCGCTGAAATTTGGCTGATGTTGCTGTCAGTGGTGGAGACAAGAATTATGTATAAGGGGAGCCGATCGAAGAATTTCAAAATATGAAAATTAAGTGTAGCTTATTTGTTTAGATTTTTGTCTCAGAGTTAGGCTCCTATTTTTCAAATTTATTCTAGTATTTGACGATTTAACCATGCTTACTATTCTCACGTAGTAGATGACCGTGTATATCGACAGTGAGGCGCATGAGATGATTCATGAACATTGAAATCTACGGGCTTAGTATTTCGAAAGTGCTTAGGTGACCGTGTCTGTCGATAACGGGGCACATATAATTACTAATGACCAGCTTAGTATTTTGAAAGTGCTCATAGTGAAGTAGAACGTGTGTTTGATCATAGGAGTGTGCGTACGTGCATGTACGTGAGCATCTATATTTATACAATGATTCACAATACACAATAAAAAGGGATGGTCACCGAATTGTTATTACTAGTTAAATACGTGTTCAATAACATATAAGTATTTTAATAAACCAAAAAAATTAATAGATGTATCCTAATATAGTAGGCAAACAAATTTAAATAAATCGAAATATTTTATTCTAAGTATATTTTGTATGATTTTGTTGTCTAAAAGATATCAATAAACATTATAACAAGATTTTCTTTATTTTACTCTTTTAATATAAAGATAGACTATTTACTATATATATTATATATAAAAATTTTGTATTGTTAGGGGGGGGGGGCATGCCCCCCTAGCTCCGCTAGTGGCTGCTGCTGATGCTGATTTGTTGTAAGAGAAAAATATTGTTCCTCCGTTTAAAAGTACTGCTGAAGTAATGCTGAAAACAGGGCTAATAAAGAAAAATAAGTGAATGTAATCGGAAACATACCTTGTTAGCTTTAACCCCATGTCTGTTTGTGTGTTTTTTTAAGTTTACACCACATGTGTTTGCATTATGGTCATGAGTAAGAAGCTGAGGCTAGGGACGGATCCAGCGGTGGGGTTTTGCTATGGATGCACCTTGAGAAGAGGCTGAAAGTTGTCTAGAGGTTGAAGAAGCCCATACTAGATATTTTCGTGGATCCGTCCCTGGCTGAGGCAAATTAGAGTGAAAATGCAAATAAGATGTGGATCGGGGTTCATTAAATCATCTGATAATGATATGCCACAGGCATCCGTCCCATGACTCCCGTTCGGAGACGGCTCCTAGACCTGTGCACGACCAGCCCTCATCTCTCTCTAAAAAAAAACTCCCCCCTCTGCTCGTCCGCCCGCACCCTTCCCCCACAGCGCGATCCCCTCGCATCGACGTTCTCCACCACGCCCGTCCGTCCGGCGGCCTCCATCCTCCGTCTCCACCGCATCCTCCATCTCCACTTGCGGGCGCCGGCCGTCGTGTGTGGCCAGGCGGTCAGGACTCAGGAGAGGGGGCCATCATTGGCCGGGCCCAGGCTAGGCCCAGGCGCAGCTAGCCGCTGCCAGGCCGTGCCACCATCTTTGGCCGTCGGTTGACCGGAATCGGCCGTTCCCCACTCTGTTTTTGCGTCGTCCGAAAGAACGGGTGAAAAACGCATGTTGCAGACGTATGCAAATGTTTTAGATGTTTAATAGGTATGTTGCAAATGTTTGATATGGATGTTGCATATGTTGTAATGGTTGTACACGGATGTTGTAAGCTTCTGTTCCTAATGTTTCATCTGTTTTTTCATATGCATGTTGCAAGTGTGTTTACCTCGATGTTGCATACGTTTCACACATATGTTGCAAGTATTTTATTTTGATGTTCCGTATGTTTGTAATGGTTTCAAGTGTTCCTCTGGTGTTTTAGACGTGTGTTTCGTCTGTCTTCATAAATATGTTACCAGTGTTGCATCTAAATATTTTAAAAATATATCATGTATTTCACATGTTGCAATACGCGTGCAGATGGGGCGCGAGGGATCTCCGCACACGATCTGGCGGCACGGACGACGTCCGAGCGGTGCGAGCCCGCGTGGGCACACGAAACGCAGCGCAAGCAAGGGCGTGCTGGCACGAGCACGGGTGTGAGTGCAGGCGCGCAGAAAACGGAGTGCAGTGCGGACGCTATCCCCCCGTGAATCATCACCTTATTATTTCACCCCTCTATCCCTTACCGTGTATTATTAAATCAGGCGTGCCAAATCGAAGGTTTAATAGTGGCGCCTAACCTTGCGGGCCGGATCGAACCGACAAGCGACAAGTCCACGTCCGGCGACGAGAAACCAAACCAAAAGCATCACGAGATTTGCTCTCTGTCACAGATGTCGCCGTCGCCGTCTCCGCGGCGGGTGTGCCAAAACCGATCACATCGTTTCCGGATCGAGGGCCCGGGTGATCCATCCCTGGTACTGTACTCTGTGGTCTCTGGTAGGCTGGTGGCCACGAAAAGTTCCGCGGCGAAAACTGATGGAACTCACGCATGCGCACGAGGGCAAACCGCTCTCCCATACGCGACGCGAGACGGCGAGAGCCACTCGACCGTTCCGCGTGGGGTTCTGGATTTCTGGGCCGCGGGAGGCTGCAGCCTGCAGCTGTAGCCAGCGCAGGCAGGCACGGTCGGTTCACACCGCTCCTGACGGCTGGGCCTGCTTGGGCGGGCGCGCGTTGGCGTTGCGGCGTCGCCATTCGATTCGAACGAGGCGCAGAGCGCGGGGGGGATTGGCATTGGCTCGCCACCAGCTGCACGCCCTCTCCTCCTCATCTTCCTCTCCCTCCCGTCGCGCTCTCGCCTCCCTCCTCTGCCTGCCTCTGCGCTTCTCTTCACTTCAGTTCTCCTCCTCGCCGAGCGGGAGCGCCGAGAGAGATGCGACCGCGATGCCCGCACTCGTTCCCTCGCTGCTCCTCCCAATCCCAGCCTTGATCCTACCCGCGCCACCTCGCTGCCACCCCCGCCGCCGCTGCTTCGCGCCCGCCCCGCTCGCCGCGTCGTCCACCTCCTCCTCGTCCCCGCACTCTTCCAGGCAGCCATACTACCGCCGCCGCCGCCACGAGGCCCCGAGCCAGACACCGACGCCTGCGCCACGCCCGTCCTCCCAGCCGCAGCCGCCGCCGCGCGACGCAAATGCCGCCGCGCCCCGCGCTCGGGGCCAGGAGGAGCTGGAGGCGGCGATCTACGACTTCATGTGCCGCTCCGCCAAGCCAGGAGCCTTCCCCACCCGCGAGGAGCTCGTCGCGGCGGGCCGCTCCGACCTCGCGGCCGCCGTCGCGTCCAGCGGGGGCTGGCTCTCCCTCGGCTGGTCCTCCACCGCCGCGGAGGGCCCCGCCACGACGGCTGCGCCGCGCTCGTCGGGCGGGGGCAACCCTGACTACCCGCCCGAGACGGGCGTGTATTACCGTGGTGACCTAGTGCCGGGCTCGGTGGATGACTCCGAGTGGTGGGTGACTGGGATTGCTCTCTGCTCTGCTGTGCCCTTCTATGTCCTCGCGCGATGCCTCGCTGAATTTCGCTGTCTGCGTTGCAGGGAGGAGGAGGAGGAGGACGACGACGAAGAGAGGAGGCGTCATCATCTGGGCGGGAGCAGGAAACAGAGGAGACCAGGTGGGTGCCTGCTGAGGCTCAAAGCTTATTCGATCCCGTGGTGTTCTGCTGGTTAATCAAGTTATTCACGGCTGTTGCAGCGAGATCAGGTTCAAAGCAGGAATCGAGGGGATGCTCAGCAGGCTGCAGAAGGATAGGGAGCGAGCGCGGCCACCTCCACGGAGTAGTACCCACGACACACAGGGCCAAAGTGACGATGATGGTATGTGGGTTTAAATTTTCAGAGGGTATGAGTTCTTCAGGAACATAACTTGTTTCCAATTGTGCAGTTTTAGTAGTACTTCCTTGTCAAACTGTAATATGCCGTGATGATTGGTGGGTTGTCCATTTAAGGCTACACAGCAAACATAACCTTTTTGTCAGCCAAGTGAAAATTGAATAGTGACAGCAATTTATGGTTATTCTGTGATCCATCGTATCACTGATGTTCATGTTGATGTTCACAGTTTGCACCTTTCACGTTATGATTGAAATTTTGACTAATTGCAAAAGCACCACTGAGTTATTCTGTTTTCTTCTTTTTTTTCCTTGCATCAACAGAAGGTTCACAGCAGTTAGTTTCAGCCTGCCCTCAAGTGGGCTATGAACTACAAACAACTGATTTAGCTTAGCTAGTACTCCCTCCGGTTCTCTAAAGCAAGTCGTTTTGGACATCGACACGGTTTTTAAGAAACGACTTTGACTGCAACTTTTTGCTATAAAATATTTATAAAATATAGTTAATATATACTTTTATGAAACTACATTTCGAGATGAATCTACTTATATCACTTTCATATTTTTAAACTCAACCCAAAAGAAGTTATTTATAGTCAAAGTTTAAAATATTTGACTTAAGACAACCTCAAAACGACTTGTTTTAGAGAACCGGAGGGAGTACTGCATTTCATTTTTGTATATTTAACTAAAATGACGCAACTATGTTGCATATGTACAACTTTAGCTGGCAACAGTGGCGCCCCTAGTCATACAGCGGCTGGTGGCAGGCATATTCCAAGGGTACCTGAGAACGGAAGTGTCCATGGATCTCATTCTCAAAATGGAACAATAGAGGAAAACAGCACCTTACAGAGTTTGAGCAATGATGCATGGAAAACATGGACCCTTGACAAGGGTGGTTTATCTCATTTTGAAGGTTATATGTCTGCTTCTCATCTTTATTCTATAGTGCATCATATTTGTTACATAATTGCTTGTTGACATATTTAATTTCTGCAGCTGCTGAGGTCCTACCTACTGAAAGAAGAAAATTATCCCAACACGATGACATTGCATCTGTGCAAAATGACATTCAAATGTCATCGAATGGTGTGGCTGCAAGTGATTATCCTAGTGATGGTGTTAGCACAGAAAGAGATGAGATACATTCACGTCTTCAAACTCTGGAATTGGACCTTTCTGCTGCTCTCAAGACATTAAGATCAAGATTTGATAAAGTTTTATCAGATATGGTGTGTATCTCTTCAAATTATCAAATTCCTGTTTAAAAAGTTTTATTGCATTCACTTCTGCTGACACCCCCCCACACACACACACACAGAGCCAGCTTGGGAAGCTTCTGATCAAATCGTGTACACTGTGATTAATGTTATCTTCATGAAGACACACCTAACTGTCATTAGAAAATAGTGCAAACAAATGTACAAATGATTGCAGTTGACAGTAGAGGATGCTCCCTTGCAGTGTTGAATGTTTTCTGTCTGTAGTTAGATGCAAATTAGTTGATGTTTCATAGTTTTCAGAGGCGCAATATGGCACAATAAGCAAACAGCCTGTCAGTAATGACCTCGGGAAATTGTTAATGTTTCTAGAGGCATTGTACTTGCCAGCTGTATTCTAAATATCTTGTTTCTTTTTCCACTCAAATGGTGATAAAGCAGGTGTCGAAGTTACATCTCTGAGATGTTTCTCATCTTGATCTTATTAATGGAATTATATTGGTCTCTCTAAGCAAGCAGGCTTTCTTAATTTGTTGTTTACTTTTTCAGTCAAATAGTAATGGAGCAACTGTGCTGGATGACATCTCTGATGATTGGGAATTTGAGGAGACAAAGGTAATGCAGGCTCAGGAGGAGCTAAGATCAATCCGGGCTAAAATAGCTGTGTTAGAAGGGAAGATGGCACTTGAGATATTGTATGCCCTCACATTAATCATCTATGCTTCATATTTCATCTCATTCTCTCCTACTTACCCTATATAAATCTATCACATCATCAGTGAAAGCAACAAAATAATTGAAGATAAACAAATGAGGCTTGATGAAGTTGAGAAGGCACTGAGTGAGCTCCGTACTGTTTGTATTATGTGGGCCAACCCTGCTTCAGATGTTTTAGTGGTTGGATCCTTTGATGGCTGGACAAGTCAAGTAAGTGCCTACTCCAATCTATGTTGTAAAAACTGAAAAATTACTAAGGAATTACAAGATATGTGCCCATTCATAGATACTCTTTTTGTTGTTGTTGTTGTTGTTGTTGTTGTTGTTGTTGTTGTCATCCTTAGTATAATATTAAGTTTATTCTAATGAATATAGGTGCTGTTAAAGAGATGATGCTTATAGCTTCTGGTATTTTTTTTCGCGAACATGCCTTGCACGTGTTTCATTAAGAGGAAAGGATGGTGTTTGTTACAAAAGCGCCTTTCTGCCGTCGAGTTTGGCGAGAGGCAATCCTAGACAGCTCTAGAACGCACAACCACCTACGTGATATTACATAGAAAATGTGAGAACCACGACATCGAAGGTCTCTCAAGCATTAAACAGAATGAGCAGGGCAGCCAAGTCGCCGTTACCCGCGGCAATCCAACAGTTACCTTCTTCAACCACCATACCGGCCAATGCTTGTGGCAAAGAATGGCAGGCGTCAACAGGACAGACAAGACCAGTTGTTGTAAAAGACTGCTAAATGGAAACTTGTATGGCTGGTGTGTCCACACATCTCAATCACATTATACCATAAAGGCAGTAACAGTGACTTGGATGTGGATAACTGGATACCGGAAACCTCGTTTCAGGTACACTTATGTTGCATAGATGCACTTGTACCCTATGCAACATGGCCTTCTAATCCCAAGGAGCCACCATGAAACCACATCAGTGAATCAGCCTACAAAAAGGAGGAAAAACTTATAGAAGTAAGGGATGGAAAGCCTATTCCATGTGCTTCTGTCCATGGACAACATGTTGTAGAAGAATAACAATATTTGATATGTTGAGTTTAGTAATCATGCACTGGTGACGTTAAGGAATCCACAAGTTCTCTTATGTGCCAATGAAACTGGTAATGTTTCCACCTTTCTAGTACCTAGTCTTGGACAACTTGGTTTGGACGGCAGAATATTGCACATGGCTTCACCCTAGGTCTAGGCTTTATCACCTTTATTTATATTCGACCAATGTAGTAACCATTAATCCTTGTCTTGTCACACTGTCAATAGTAACTATAATACCCAATTAGCTGGATGCCCTTCATAAGCGCATTTCTGCCTCACATTGGATGAAAAAATAACCCCCTGCTCCCTTCCTGTGGATTTGTAAGTCCAAATGTTGCAAGAAACTGAGAGTTTTTTCCTTGTTTTTACTAATGGACAGACTCAACACTAGGAACATCCTTAGGAGGAAAAAGCTCAAGCTGGAAGGCAACTACAACTGTGTCCTTTGCAATATGAATGTGGAAGAAACAGCCTTTCATCTCTTCTTCACTTGTTCTTTCAACCAACACTGTTGGCAGTTCCTTGGCATTCAGTGGAATCTTACGACGGATTGCCTACAAATGATGATATAAGCCAAACAAGCTTTTCCATATCCTTTCTTCATGGAAGTGTTCATTATCTCTGCATGGCAAATCTGGAAGCAGCACAATAACCTCATTTTTATGAGAGGACCTCCTTCCTTCTCTTCCTGGAGAAGATCTCTCAAAGATGAAGCTTGACTACAAGTGTATAGGATTTCTGGAAACAAGTGATCTGTTTTTCTCTCCTGGGTTGATTCTTGTGTTTAGCGGTTCTTTGTTTTTCTTCTTGTTCTAGCCTCACTCGGGTTTAGCTGAAGTGTTTTCCGTTTGTTTTGCTCAGTGTTTGTTTTTGTGTTTTAATAAAATCTAACAGTGGGGGCTTCCCCTGCTGTTTTCCTTGTTCAAAAAAAAAAAAAAACGGTGGTAGATACAGCCTGCTCCACTAATTATTATGGAACTATTTGCTTTAGATGCATAGCGTAGTTTCAGCTTTGATTTCCTAGATACAAGTCATTTTAGGATTCATACAGGTCAAACATTTTTAACATTGGCCATTACATGATGAGTCAGGTAGATTGACATCATAAGATCGATGTTGGTAGATTCATCTTGAGAAGCACTTCATAATATGCTTTTTTAATAACATATTTTCATAGAAATTGCTACTCAAAGTTCCACTTCATAGATTGTCAATGTCTAGAACAACTTATATTTACGATTGGAGGGAGGAAGATTCTAACTATGTGGAGTGCATAATTTATATATCTGCTTTGAATCGTGTGTCCACACATTGTTAGCTTCATGATAGCGCATAGCATGATGCCTTGGTTACATTCTAGAACAAGAAATATATTTTGTTGTTTATTACTGCTGAATTGCTTGTGGGCAAGAACACTTATCTGTAGGACCATAGATCTTTGTATGGCTGTGCTGGATTTTTCAAACTTTTCTTAATGGTCAGTAGGTGGGTATAGTATTGCTGAGTTCAATGAGGTTCACCAATCCATGTTTGATGTCCTTGTAACTAATGACCAAAGCGGATTTTGAACCAAAAGGCATACTTTGATTCTGTTTCCAAGCAACAAATACAAAGTCGATTTTTGCAAGTCATATTTGGTGTAGGAAATCTACTGGCGCTAGTGTAACTCACTGCTTGCATGATGGTATCCATATATTTGAAAGATAGTCCACATATGTGATTATTCCTCATTGCCATCTCATTTCTAAGGATAATAATCTAATTCTAAATATCACTGCAGAGAAAGATGGAAAGATCAGAAAACGGCATGTTTTCCTTAAATCTGAGACTGTACCCTGGTAGATATGAGGTAATCATCTGCCCTTTTACACCCAATATCTATATGCGTACATCCTCTGATAGTTTCCAGTTTCCAAATGTGCTCCAGATTAAGTTTATCGTTGATGGTGTTTGGAAGAATGATCCGCTGCGACCCACTGTGCACAACAATGGGCATGAAAACAACCTTCTGATTGTCACTTGACTTGAAGTTTGCACCCCGGTAGTGTTTTTGTAGATCATTAGCCTATTTCCTTGTCGGTATGGTTGATGCCAACTGATTAGATCGGTCCCTCCATGTAACTAATCAGCTTTCCCTTCAGTTTTTTCTTTCTTTTCTAGATAGGTGTGTACAACATAAACAGTGGGGTGTTTGAAATGCGTCACCCTGTTGAGATAGGAGAAGAAAGTAGCTGTGTATTCTTTTCTTCCCATCGTTCTCCCCGGTGTTGGTCCAGCTTCATGATTCTGGTTAACAATGTTGTAATGTACATATGCTGTGAAGGTGGTCTATTATCGAAACTATTCAAAAGTTGTTTGCAGGAGTTGCATTATCGACGTGCTATGTTTATCTGCATCTAACCCCAAATAGGATGCAACTACCAGCTAGGAATCGCCGGAAAGGTTTTGTTTGCGGTGGGAAGGGTATTTCTTCCAGCCAAGGTAAAAACATCCTAGGGTCAATTTTATCTTTGTTGCCTCTGCGTACGAAGCTATATTTTTGACCGAAACGTACGAAGCTATATTGTAGCTGTAGTGCTGAACGATGACCAGGTTCGGCATGAAGACCAACCGAAAAGTGAACTTTGAAGGCATTCGTTTATCCAGGTCAGCGTCACTGAAGTGTGAAGGCATGTCATAGGAGCAAAATGCTTGCAATCATAAGCTGGTAACTGAACTAAAGCTTTCATTCAATCTTACATCCATTTGTACTTCAGTTTAACCACTTACAAGTTACAAGAAACCAAATCTTTTGTTTCTTTCTCCTCTTTCATCAGCCACTTGATCATCCTATAGATTCAAATGAAAGGACCAGTAACAAAATTATAAAGTAATAAACAAAAAAAAGAGGCGTCGATATCAAACAACTACTATGGTAAACACAAATAATTATCATGACCTTATTCTAAGGTCCCCTTTTTTTCTCCTCTCCCAAGGCCATAACATAATTACCCAAGCCACCAACCAAGTTGCCATCAAGGACCACACAGAGCTCAGAGCTCATTCATGCCTGCACTCGTGATCGTGAGACGACGGTCACCTCGGCGGATCAGTTGCTGGCCCCCTTGAACCTGTACCACCTGGCGCAGATGACGAAGTAGATGAGGTTAAAGACGCCGATGCCGGCGATGGTCCAGTAGAAGAGGTCGAGGCGGCCCTTGTTGAGGTCCTGCGCCAGCCAGTTCTGCCCGGACCCCGTCGTCCGGTGCACGATGGTCACCAGGAAGCCGCTGAGGTAGTTGCCGAGCGCCAGGTTGCAGAAGGCGAGCGCCCCCGCCACGCTGCGCATGTGCTCCGGGATCTCCTTGTAGTAGAACTCGATCTGGCTGATGAGGTTAAATGCCTCCGACAGTCCCAGGATCATGAGCTGCGGCACCATCCACAGGCTGGACATGGCCGAGATCGCCCCGCCGGTGATGGTGGTGCCAAGCGTCGGCTGGCTCAGCGCGATGGCACGGCGCCGGTCCTCGACGATGGCCGAGATGACCATGGCGACGGTGGAGAGCGCGATGCCGATGCCCTGGCGCTGGAGCAGCGTGAACCCCTCCTCCTTGCCGGTTATCTTGCGGAGCTTGGGCAGCAGGAGGCGGTCGTAGAACGGGATCCACAGCGTCTGCGCGAGCATAGCGAAGACGGTGAACGACGCGGCGGGGATCTGGAAGCCGCCGCGGCCGAGGTGGCGGTCGGACTGCAGCGCCGAGAGCACCACGTACGTGGACTGCTGCACCACGGCGACGTAGTAGATGATCCCCGTGGACCAGACGGGCACGATGCGGATGAGGCACTTGACCTCCTCCACGTGCTGCACGCTGCAGAGCCTCCAGGGGTCGGCGGGCGCGGCGCCGCCGGGGCGCACCTCGTCCGGGGACGCCACGATGGCCGCCTTGTCGAGGCAGCGGAACTGGTCCGTGTGCGCGAGCTTGGTGACGATGGCGCTGGTGTGCGGCGGGTCGAAGAGATCCTGCTTCGGGTCCTTGGGCTGCTTCAGCGATCGCTTCTTGAGCGCGGCCGCCAGCACCTGCACGACGCTGGTGAAGGGGCTCCCCTCGGGCGTCACCCGCACGTAGAGGCGCGTGCCCATGAAGAAAAGCACGCAGGCCAGGAACATGAGCGCCGTCGGGATGCCCAGCCCGATGGGCCAGCTCACGTTGCTCTGCACGTAGATGATGACGGTGGCGGAGATCATCATGGCCGCCGTGAAGGTGAAGTAGTACCAGTTGAAGAAGCTGTTGATGCCGCGCTTGCCGGACTCCGTCGTGGGGTCGAACTGGTCCGCGCCGAAGGGCATGCTGCAGGGGCGGATCCCCGCCGAGCCCAGCACCAGGAACGCGAAGGCGATGAAGAGCACCGCGAACTGGTACGACGTCGCCTTCTCGCAGGTCTCGCCCACGCCGCACTCCGGCGGGTGCAGGCTGTCCGCGCCGGCCGTCAGCGTCAGCAGGAACATGCCCTGGTGGTGGATGCATGGAACCAACGAGTGAGCAGCATGCCAACATTGTAGGAGTAGTTTGAACACGATGAATCATTTCAGTAGCATCGAAGCAGGTCTACGTAAGACAGAATCACGAGTCTTTGGTCATGTGGATCTCTCCTTCCTGCCGTATACGCACGCGCTTCCAATCCCCAACGGCCCAACTCTCGTAGCACATTCTGAAACGACAAAAACCTCGTGCTCCGCCGTGGCCACTGCAATGCAATGACCCAACCGCCGCCGGGAACAGGACAAAGTGTGACCAGCGAGGCAAACCAGCAGAGGAGGCGAACCTCTAATTGACGCCTGTCATGGTCTGCTGCATAGGCGGAGCTACGTGGGGGCCATCCATGGCCCCCTGCCTCTGTAAATTTTCTAAAGTCCATGTACTGTTTAGATGGTATAGAAATATAAATACAAAGCCATTAATAATAGTGCAGAGTCAAGCAGCTAGCAAGCAAGCAACCAGTCCATCCGTAGACATAGCAAACAACGCAATCCACATTCCGTCTCTATTTCTACTTTCTGCTTTTCTTCGTCAAAGTGGCAGTGTCTCCGTGGCTCACAACAATTAGTTACATCTCTCCACCGCAGACGGCTCTGCACTTGGCATGCTGGAACATAGGGCCTGTTCGGCTGGTATTAAAGCCGGCTGCAGCTGTTTTGTTGTAAGAGAAAAATACTATAGATTTTAGCTGATAAGTTCTAAGCGAACAGGTCTATAGATCTTGCTAGCCTACAAAGGTCTCGGACTGCCCTAGGGTGTCTTCTTGTTCAGCACGTGTGCTTGCAAAATGGCCCCCCCTTGGATTGGGCTGCACGCTCCGCCACTGGTCTGCTGTGTCACGTTACACGAATGGAACGGGCAAGTGTGTCAATCCCGGTGGCTCCATGACTCCATCGAATCTCCTCGCCTCTCCGCTGGTGAATGTGGCTGTCATTGTGCAGCTACAGCTAGTTGGCGGTCAGATATGTCCGGACTCCGGATAAGGTGGCCAAATCATTTGGGCGCACATGGCGGCCACAATCCACATGAGATGCGAACACGCACTGCAGCTTCATTCTCGTAGCATAGCCATACTGCCATAGCATAGGGGACCTCAGTGGAGTTGGAAATCCGTATATTTCTCTCGAAGCGGAAGAGAACCTCCCTCGAGTATGGACTGGACCTCGACAGTCGACACTACTATTTTATTTTTATACGAGATGGGATCCGGACACTATCATTTTGCTGGCCCGCATCACGTGTCTGGCCGCGCCGCGCTGCTCCTAGCCGCCGCCTGGTCCAGACTTCCAGCCAGACCAGATGCCCAGACCCACACAAGCATTCCCCGTCACGCGTTCCCACGGGCCACGGGCACGTAACGCACCGAGACGGAGCCGCCGCCCGAGCCCCCACCGACACATCCTGCCCAGCGCCCACCCACCCCACTGCCGTGCACGGCTCCGACGCCACTGCTCCGCTCGCCCGGCACCACGCGTGTGCGTGTCGTGCCGGTGCCGCGTCCCCCGGCCCCGCCTAGGCGCCCACCCCCACTGTTCCCCCCACAGGCGGCGTCGCAAGCGAACAAAACCGGCGGCCCGAGCTGAGGATCACCCCACGCGGCCGTGTGGGCAGGGCACCGGCTCCCACCGCACCGGCGGCCAGGAGCACGAGCGCACCTCCACCCGCGCCGTTCCCACAGCTAAGTTAGTGGCGAAATTCCCTCGCGCACCCACCATGACGTGCGGCCGTGCGGGGTGTGAGCCCATGACACCAACGTGTCCGTAACCGACGCTGGCACTCCGGCATACAAGTGGTGGGTGGTCAGGGAGGCGACACCGGCGCGGCAACGTACGCACACGCGTAGTACGTACAGTACGTGGATGCCGGCATTGCACCACCTCCGGTCCGGAATCGGCATGATTGGTCTGCCCATGTAGGAGGAGTACACGTAGTACTGGGTACCAGATCCATCGTTTTCGGCCGCAGCCAAGCAGGCGATCGAGAGAGATATTTGCCTGTCCTGGCCGACGTACCCCCGCACTATCCGCGCGCACAGCACGGCAGGCCACCACTCCGCAGGCAGGAAGCAGAACCGGCTCTAGCTAAGCTAGCGCTAGCTTCACCAGTCAACAATCTCCGACGGCTCCACCTCATGGCTCGTCTCGTGTCCAGACGCCAACTACAAGTGAGCACACCATACTGTGCTAGTGACTTGTGAGAGGTCGGTGCAGTTAGTTGGCGATCGCGCCGAGACGTATCCGCCTGCCTGTCCGGATAAGGGGCTGCTGGCGATGGATGGGATGGAATCGTCATTTGGCCGCGCGTGCCGGCCGTGACAAGAGGAAGGAACTTTGTGCAGGCGCCCAGGCGGTGAGACCCTTCCAAACGTGCGTATTCGCGCACCGCCCCCGTACCAAACTGTGCGCCGCACGTCACGTCGCTCCGGCGGTGCAGTGCAGCTGTATGTTCGATCGGTACGTGAGTGATGCCGATCGATCGATGAGAGAAACCATTTTGCGTTGGGTTGAAGCGTGGAAATCTGGCTAGCCGGTGAAAGATGTGTGTACGGGGACAATACAATGCAAGTCCACTTCGCGGCACGCCGAGGCAAGGTGATCCTGATCCACCACCACCCAAACATAATTTTGAAACACAGCTAGCTTGTTTTTTACTAGTCCATCACGCGTGCCGGCAAGGTAGGAAAGGAAATAAAGGAGTTTTTTTTCTTCACCCGATTCACTGCATAGATCGAATGGGGAGCGGAGAAATCCAAGCATTTGGTGGAGCACACGCGGAGCGGCGGGAAGGGGCGGCGCGGGGGAAGCAGCGGCAGCGGGTACCGGCATGGGCCTGTCGTGGCGCTCCGTGGCCGAGGACTTCCACCGCTATGGGGCCGCCCACCATGGGGGCCCACGCGTGGCGCTGCGCAGCAGGGGGGGCGTCGCCTCGCCAGCGCGGCGCACGGGGAGAGGCGAACCTGCGGGACGAAGCCGCGTCGGGGTGGTAGGCACGGCGGCGGCCACTGGGGCAGCGGGGCAGCTCGCGACGTGTGGCACCGTGGAGGCCATGCAGTCGGATCCAGTGGAGACGGGGAGGACTCGCGCTGGATCCGCCTGGTCGGCGCAGATCCACCGCCTCCGTTGCCGGCGCGAGGTCCACTCGTGCTCCAGCCTCAGATCCGCCGTCGGGAGGGGCCCCGCGAGCGGCCGCTTCAGATCCACCGCCGAGGTTGCTGACATGACCTCCCCGTCGTCATCCACGGCCAGCACGGAGGTCCCTCCGCCGCCAGAGCCGACCGTCGCGTCGTGGCCTCACCACTGGCCGGGCAGCAGCCGTGGGGGACGACCAAACAGCGGAGGGGCCAAACCCTAGGCGGCGCGACCACGCCTTTGCGTCGCGAGGAGGAAGCGGCGTGGTGGTGGTGGTGTTGAGGAGGAGGAGGAGTGGCCGCCCAGCCGTCTTGAGGGTCGGCCACCACCACTGCGCATCATCGCGCGCAGCCGAGCTTCAGCGAGAGCCTCACGCGCGGTGAGCCGGCAGCGTTGACCCGCCCGGCATGCGGCGACGCGAGGGGAGGAGGAGGGCCTCGCCGTGTCGGGAGAGAGAGAGAGGAAGGGTTGCAAGAGGGTGGCGCGTGCACGCGGCGCATCACTGGAAGGGGCGCGGAGCGTCGCGGAGAGGCCGAGGGAGACAGTACGACGGGAGGCTTCGAGCGGCAGCAGACGCGGTGGGAGCAGATATTTCATTTCAAGGCGGGCACTGTAGTAGCCGGTGGGAGCAACCAGGACCGTAGATCTAAGAATCCAACGGCTAAAGTAATTTGGGTGACGTGCACGGCCTGAGAGCTGGCCAAACTCCCTGCTTTGATACATAGAGATACGATGGGCATCTCTGAGGTCTGACTGTCTGAGCATGCTCCTTGTGACCTTGCATGTTTAGAACGAGCCCAAGTGTGCGGCATGGGTGGATTAGGATGCCAGCAGGCTGCTGATTGGGTCTGGGCAAGTAGGCATTCGCATGGAGCATTATCGTACTGCTAATGGTAGTACTAATCGAGCTTATTTTTTTCCACAACGTGGCAGTGCCCAGTGCTAATCGAGCTCAATCATCGTTGCTAATGCTACGTACTTATACGTGGTGGGGTGGGGGGCAACTAGCGAGGCTATGCCTATGCGCATGCCTCACTAGTCAGTAGCTTGTACCTACTGAATAAACCCGTAATGTCAGCTGATGATCGACAGGATAAAAAGCAGATGGATTAGGTCACTACAATACGGCTTAGCGCGGCGCTAATCATGAGTGCTGCCGCTAACTGGAGTAAATAATTAAGGGCACTTTGCCATGCTACTTTGTGGAATTAAAAGGCAAAGTGCGTGATAATGCAGGGACACGCACACGGGGCTAGCTACCCAGGCCAACAAACGCTGGTGGGTTTTGTTAGTACATGCTATGTAATGCTGAGATACCCAGCGCACTTAACTTTTATTTTCACACTTAAAAAAGAAACACTTTTTTCAAAGATGTAGCGTGGAAAGGAAGCTTCTGCAGGCTGTGTGTTCTGTCACAAAATAAGTGCATATGGAATCCTAACAACCATATATGCATAGATATTTGGAAGATAAGACACGGGTCTTTTCGATATATGAATATGTGCACGATACTAAGCTGAACCCGTGAAGACTAATCCGGTCGAGAAAACCGGACGGCGTGTCTCGAACAGCACCAATCCAACCACCAATTTGACCCGTTAAGACGCAGGGTTGGTAGCTGCTCCGTACTACACACTCTCTACACGCCAAAGACAAATTCAAAACTGAAGACGACTGAGCTCCAGCTTTACACAACACCGAAATTCGCCAAAAATCCGCTCAAATTGCACTTAAAAAAAGGAAACCAAAATCACATTCGAACCTGCATTCGTAATTCGATCCAGATAAGGAAACCCACTTAAAGCTGATTTGAAATAAGCTCGCAGACAAACTTGCTTGCATCTCTGTTTGGAACGGTGCAGCTGGCCTACTTGGTGGTATCCAAGTCTTGTGATCAATAAATGGCCTGGAAACTCAGCTGAGCCAGGACGATGGTGCTGACGCTACGAATGATTAGTGCGCACGTCGTGCTGTAAACTACCGCACTCCACATCCATCTCCACCCAAGCTCAGCTTCCAGATCTCCGACGTACAGCACGTACTACATGGCGCATTCGTGTTGGAGAGAGGTTGAGGAGAGGGAAAGAGGAAGAAATTCTCTCAAGAAGCGACCACGAGGCAGTGAGCGAGCGTGCACGTGGGCGCTCGTCCCATGCGCCGCCCATCATCTTCTCTTCTCCAATCCACCCCAGCGGATGGAGAGGGACAGTGAAAAAAACAAAGGAAGAACAGCTCGGCTGCCCGAGAGCGAGTCCAACTCGTCGAAAGGCGGGACAGAGCACAGAGGCCGGCACCAACCCCACCGTCATCGCAAAAGCTGAATCTGATGACCCCGCGGGCAACGTAACGAAGGAACCCGTCAACCACCCTGCACGCCGAATTCCGCCCACCTACCCCACCCCTGAAATTCAACCCGCCGCCGGCCTGGCTCGGCCCGGCGGCAAGGACGACGGGCGTCGCAAATCAAGGTAACACACAAGAGGGGGGGAGATTGCGGTGCTTACGATGAGGGATGCGACGGAGGCGATGGCGAGCGCGAGGTAGCGGCCGAGGTAGGCGTCGGAGAGGAAGGCGCCGATGATGGGGGCGAGGCTGGTGGTGCCGTTGAGCCCGTTGAGCAGCGTCGCCGCGTCCACGCTCCGCATGTGGAACACCTGCGTCAGGTACACCAGCAGGTTGGCCGACGTGCCCAGCGTCCCCAGCTTCTCGAACGTCTCGTTCCCTGTATGGTGTAGGCAAGCAACCCGCAACCGCAATTCAATTTCACTCGCCGCCACCACCATTGCCACACACAAGTACACGACACAGGCGAGAGAGAGGGAGGGTGAAGAGCAATTGGCAGCGCACGCACCGATGATGAAGGGCATGGCCTTCCAGCCGTGGTACTTGACGGCGGGCCGCGGCGGGCGCGGGCTCTCCTCGCCGCCGCCGTTCTCCAGCTTGTCCACGTCCATGCTCTTGAGCTTCCGGGACACCTCCTCGTCGTCCCGCCCGCCGCCCACGCGCATTCTTCCCCTCCTCTGCTTCCTTCTTCCCGGCCGGGGGAGACGAGACTCTCGAGCGCGCCTCCCTTCCCCTTGTGGTCTCTCTGACTCTCTGGCGCGCGCCTGTCAGTAATGAGAAGAGCATCATGCCTACCGGTTTATAAAAAGGCCTCCCCAATCCCACCACCCGCACGCAGGAGGCAGCACAACAGCAGCAGTGGCGTTGCAGTCAGTCACGGCGGGTCCAGCACTCCAGCAGCTGGGGATTTTTTTTATTTCCCCTCCACTCATCCACCACCCTGGCTTATCTTTTTATTACATCCATGCCCCTGCTGACTGCCTCCCGCCTTGGTCTTCGTCTTCAATTTCGTCCCCCAACTTTTGAAAGCGACTTGGGGCGGGTCAGGACTCAGGGCAGGTTGGAGCGATCTGAATCCATCATAGCTGCTGGCTGCATTGCGCGTATGGACGGAGTCTGGTGGTCACCTGTCGCTGTTAAGTTGGCAAGGTAGGAGAGGGAGTGCCTTTGAGTCGAACGCAAGGCGAATTCCTGGCGCGCAAGTGAGTGCCCAAGTGGTGGTGGTCCTCAGTCACCGTCGTCATCGCTGGTCGCGAGGAGGTCTAGGGTTTTTGGAACTGTTCGCTGGTTTGTGGTTTCAACTTCCAAAGCGACGATGCATACGATCCCTATGGTGTTTTTTTTTCTCTCTTCCAAAAAACTACGCTTTCACCGCTAGCTAAAGGTCAAGGTCTGCCGTTGCCCCTACAGCCAACTTGGTGTTCTGGAAGGCATTTCTCTTGTAGTCACGAGGAAGGGGATGGTTTCGGATAGAGTTGGGCCCAGGGCCAAATCCTGAAATTCCTGATCTGACTGTCCTCTCCTCTGTTGAGAAATGAGAACCATGAAGGAGTGGGGAATTGGAAGGGGGGAAAAACGACAGCGAGAGGGAGCAGCGGCAATGAGGCCTTTCTAGCCAAACACCCGAACGGACGTGACAAGTTGGTAGAGGATCACGATTGGACCAGAGTAGGTGTTGTCAGTGTTTTGGACCGGGGTCCTCAACCAACTAGTAAATGTGAACTCCGTGCCTTTAACCCCGGATGGTGATGCAAAGAGACACAAGGTTTATATTGGTTCAGCCAATTGATGCCCTACGTCCAGTCTGAGAGATCGGTCTTGTATTCCTTGCACCGAAGTGCTTGTAGTAGGGGTTATAAACTGGGTGAGAGAGGGAGCTAGTCCCAGGTCTCGGCGTGGAACGGTGTGGGCTGCTTGAGACGTTGCTCTCAGGCAGCTTGGGAGAGCGTATGTCTACGTGAGTCTATCTCCGTGAGCTCGTGGGTGCCCCCGACTTAAGAACGGCCCCGGTCTCCCCTTTTATAGTTGAAGGAGGGACAGGGGTGATACATGTGTTACCATGCATGCGCGTGAGGTGGCGCGCCGAGTCCTGTAGCTTACTACTGTGGCGGCATGGTCAACAGAGTGGTCTTGTCCTTATGTCTCGGAGCAACGCGCCGGCTCACCCGATTTCAGATGACGTGGGCGCTCTAGTGATGACTTTGACGCAGCTATGGCCGACGGTGTCTTTGGTCGCTATGGGTTGACGGTGAAAAGAGTCGAGGCTCGATTGGTGCCGAGGCCGAGCCATCGTGGGGGGGCTCGATTGGGCGCGAATCCCGAGGCTACCGAGACACGGAAGTGGATCGCCGAGGCCTTGGAGGGAGCAGTTGGTCTCATGCACCGATTCCGATGCTACTGATGACCCGTGCTCGCTTCCCCACGTCGTCTTTGCTCTGGAGCGAGAATTAGGTAGCCACCAGGCAATCACGGGCGCTAGGCATGGGTGCAAAGATCTTGAGCACGATGGCGATAACCCCTGTTTTAATCTGTCTGTCTCTCACGTCCCGTCGGCCACCCTACTGTACTGCACCCACATGCGGCTGGCGTCGTGGGAGTGATTGGACGCGTGACGTTTTGTCAGAGAAGTCGGTCGAGGCTGAGGCGACAAGGTTGTTGCCGAGCCGGCCTCGAGCGAGTCGGAGAATCGGTACTTCGTCCGAGGCTTCACTCGCGGGGCCTCGGGCGAATCGGAGAATCGATAACCCGTCTGAGGCCTTGCGGAGCGGGGCCTCGGCACGTGAGGGCCTCGGCAAAGGGGCCTCGGCGAGGCGGAGAGTCGTTGCGACGCGTGCTTCAGGCGAGTCGGAGAATCGGACGAGACCCTGTGGTTGTCCTTCGACTTTAATATTTGTAAGGTTCTAAGCAATCTTTTCGGTTTTTGCTTAGGGTATCCTTTTATGGTATCCGACAGGTGTGCGTTCATCGTGGGTGATTATTGGGAGTTGTTGCAGACTGTTTGTCCGGGGAGACAGACAGACGGGGAGAGCTAGCGAGCGAGAGAAGTTGTTAGCATGGCTGCGTCCACTGAGCAGTGAGCAGTGAGCGTAAGAGAGAACCAGGCATTATTGAGCTGAGGTTCCTCGGGGCCGTTCCCTTCTCTTATAATTCGGCTTTTTCAGGTTGTATTTTTAGCTGGAATAGTATTTTTCTCTTACAACAAATTAGGCAGAATAATATTTCAATTTGTTTTTTCAGCGAAGCGAACCGGACCCATATCTTTTAGCACCCCTCGTCCCTCCCTTCACTGTCTCTGTCTCTCTCGAAAAAGTTATGCGTCGAACAATACGTACGTCTTGCCTAACTCCGATCGACGACCCTGCAAAGTTCATGCAGACATACGCACCTTTTGCTGTAACAAGGTGTGCAGTACACAAACCATCCTCGGTTTGTTGCTTCTATAAATCACTCGCTGTTCTTGCTCGAGTTGAGCGGAGATCGATTGCCGATTTGGCGCCATTGTGGCAATTGTCCACCATCTCGCAATAATCACGGTGCAGCTGACGCTCGATTGAATCCTTTTGCATCCACCACCACCACCAACCTCTCTCACTTTCTGCGAAATGTTGTCTGTTCTTACTTATGCACAGGCACGAGCTACTGTTTATTTGCTCCATCGCGTGGCCAAAAAGTGTTCTTTAGATTCCTTCGAGCCAGCAGTAGCATTAGGCAAATTGTTCAAACATCATTGTCAGTTTGCATTGATCGGCCACATGGTTGGTCACTGACTGTAATAATTCAAAAGCCTCCTTCACATGATCCCCCCAGGGGCTTCATTTTAGGTGGCATCGTCGTCGTTCCGATCCATGCTGCCCGACTTTGTTGTTTATTCATCGTCATCGGTGCTTTAGGCCCCATTCGACTTTGTTGTTTGTTCATTCATCGTTCATCGGTGCTTTGAAAAAGACGGATTATAAAAGAAGCGAAGAGAGCCTTAGTCGTTACAGATCGACCTAACCTGATAACAACGTGTGATATATTTTCTTATTAGTCTTATATTACTAGTGTGTTATGATGAAGGAGATTAATAGGACTAGTGGAGACGTATTATAGCTAGTGTGTTGCCCTCCTGGATCTAGGGTGTGAACTGTGAAGATGGGAGATGGCCATGCCAGATGGGAGAAGCAAGCAACGTTGACCGGCGGTAGATGCATGGAATCCTATCACGTCAGTAGCAGTAGTAGTATAGTATATGTCATGCATTCATGCACGCACAGTGCCTGGAGAACAGTGCACGAAAGAAGAAGCATTGACAGGACGATGTCTGGCCATGCCTCTCCTCTGACTTTTTGTGATCTCTCTTGATGGGGACCTACCGTGTAACTGGATATGGACCAATCAGGCAGGAGTTGGAAGATTCGTTTTACAGAGGCATATGAATGCATTCGTACTATATTCAACGGCAGTGCACGAGGAACAGACAGACAGTGCAGTGGAAGAATTAAGAAGCTAGGCGCCTTTCGGATGGTATGGTTCTGAAGAAATTTAGATAGTTTGGAGGAATTCTGGAGGAATTTGTGAGAAAAAAACATTGTTCTGGAGGAAAAAAGAAGCGGATCAAACGGGGTTTAAGGACACGCGAACGGGGCCTTAGTTTCTGACAGGGAACTGAAGACGTTTTTAGTTTCTTACTTATCAAGCCCTGGCTGGCATGGACTTTGTTGGATAGGGTTAGAGCAAGTATAATAGCTGACTGTAAGCCGGCTAAATGTTGAGGTGGAGGAAAAAAGAGGGGAGAGAGAAGACAAACGGGCTGTAAGCTTATAGCCGGTTTAGACACAATAACCCAGAAACTTTGTGAGAGAGACATATGGGTCATATATTAATAGTGAAGAGCTAGCTACTATATGGATGGACGAAGAGAAGCTGCGAAGACCTATATTATTAGCCTTACTCTTAGCGACTAGCTAGGAGCAACGGGGCCTGGTTGGTTGATTAAGAGATTCTAGCTAGGTTAATTAGCCAGTGCAGTTTTCTGGAACAGGTTAGGACAGTACGGTAAGGAACTGAATCTCAATTAACTCAATGGAGCCTGTTCGGAACTATCAGCTTGTTCGTTGCTAGTTTATAAGAAAGTACTGCTGACTATTTTGTGTGAGAGAAAATTATTGTTCCTGACTGAAAACACTGTTCACATAAACAGTGTCCGCGTGAGAGGGCTGGCCAGCACCAGCCAGCCAGCCAGCCGCTCCTGCCGAACAGGCTAATTTTAGTTGGATCTCGACAAGTGAGCCTGTGACTGGCTGGCAGCTGGCTACTTGAATTAGTCTTATCCATCTTCACGATCTGATAGTACACATCAGAGCGGACCAAATAAAGATTCATACTTCGTAGACGCCATTTTAATTTGCGTTTTGCTGGGGAGAATCTGTTCCAGATCCAAGGCATCCGATGGCTCCTCTCTATAAAGTTTAAAACAATCTTCGCCTCGCCTGTGCAGGATGCCGTCGCCTAACATACGCGAATACGAGATGCGCAACGACGTGAATTGGGCGCGAGGCTGAGGCTGAAACGCCGGCCCTACGTGCCAGCCAGGCCAGCCCGGTCGATCGACTATTCTGCGAATCTGACTGCACGTCAGCGTCGTCATTCCGGTGCAGACATGTTCCGACTCGTTCTGACTGTG